TAATTTTACTAAAAGACAACTTTATTTACTTGGTATAATTTGTCATGAAACCATCAGGAAAATAAATCCAGCAAAATTAGATGTTTGATCTGACAGAATATTGCATTCCTGCTCAAATTTCTTTCACAAGGATAAATGCTTTGACTTCAAAACTTGTCTCCTGTTTGAAGATAGATATACAGTATTCTCACCATCATCACCTGTTTCATCACCTGTTTCTGACTGAATACTGAGTTTACAGAGTGGATCAATGGAATAAAAGCTCAGAAACAAGAAAAATAAAAACTCCAAAGTAAAATATTTAACAAAAAGTTTGACTGGAATAGTCAGAAAGTTGAATCAATAAGTTGAAAATGCATTAATAGAACTTTTGAACTTCATGAAGTAAAAAAAATATCTTTTCTTTTTTTTTTGGCACATTTCAAATTGAACATACATTAATATTGTAGAAAAAGTAAACTATCATCTTTCAAAAACATTTGGAAGCAAAGTGGCCCTGGTGGTCTCACACAGAYGACTGGCTCTCGCTGCAAACGTAAATGTTGCTGGGTCGCACTCGTCGGTGACTCCTGCCGGGCACTCGGGGACACAGTCTGCAGCTCTTGGGGATGAACTCCTGGCAGGCCTCCCTGAACTTCCGGATCCTCCAGCAGTAGATGACGGGGTTGAACACGGTCTTCAGGTAGCTCAGCCACAGAGCGCCGATGCTGATGGGGTAGAAGAGAGGGCTGTAGTAGAACTGTCGGCTGAACACGGCCAGCAGGCTCACAACCGTGTGAGGCAGCCAGCACACAGAGAAGCCCACAAACAGAATGAGGATGGTGGTGAAGGCTCTGGTTTTGAAGCTCATGTCCACTTTGATCTTAGGCGGGCGCTGTAGCCCGGTGAGTCTCATTTTGCTGACTTGGTTGAGGGCTGGAAGGCAGGAATGCTCGCTGGTGTGGTTGTGGATGCGCAGGGTGTTGCGGCGCACCGTGTTCAGGATGCACATGTAAGAGTACAGCATGACCGTGAACGGAACAAAAAACACAGCTACAGCTAAAAGCACCGTGTATCCACGATCTGCCACAGACTCACTGTAACCCAGCACGCACTGCGGCGCCCAGGCACCCCCGACTCCTGCTGCACCAGTCCTCCACCCGACTACAGACGGCAGGGACACACACAGGCTCAGCACCCACGAACCCGCTATCAAAACCTTAGCTCGGTGCGGGGTCAGCTTGTCCTGCCGCTGCACGATGATAAGGAAACGGTCCACGCTGATGATGAGGAGGATGGACACGCCCTCCAGGACAAACAGCCAGTACAGCATGATGGAGGCTCGACAAAACCCACTCCCAAAACTCCAATCAGCCGTGGCCACGGTGACGGCRGTGAAGGGCATGCAGAGCAGGGAGAGCATGATGTCAGAGAAGGCTARCGTGGCGAGGAGGAGGTTGATGGCAGAGCGCATGGCCGGCTTCTGATAAACAATCAGACACACGATGGCATTGCCGAGGAAACCAATTGTGATCATGAAGATCATTATCGCTGCCAGGGTCACACGGAGCGTGACCGACACCAGGGGAGTGGCAGCTTCCGATGGGAGGCTTTCTGCAGCTTCCTCCACACCTGGCTCCATGAAGGTGCACTCCTCGGGCAGGCTTTCATTACAAAAAGCCATAGCAGCTTTGTATCAGGCAACACCAGTCCAGAGGAAGGTAAACATTTTTGACTATTTTTGTGGGGAAAAGTGAACGATGTTTTCTAACTGGTGGTGTTCCATGGCAATACCTGGGACAGAAAGAAAAGAACATAAGACAGTAAACATAAGTCGATATGATCCAGTATATTCCAACAAAGTGGAGTCAGGTCTTCTGAACTGCTTCTTTTTTGTTGAAATGTTTCATTTCTTCTTTAAGAGACTTCTTCTGTTTGAGGAGTTGCAGGTAAGCTCAGCCTTATVAACAGTTACTTCAYAGTGAAACAACCAGTAACAATGGAAACTGGTTGTACACATGTAAAAGAGGACCATCAGCCTAACCATCGACCATYRGKGCMCYRATGGTYGATGGTTAKGCTGATGGTCCTCTTTTACATGTGTACAACAAGTTTCCATTGTTACTGGTTGTACACATGTAAAAAAGAGGACCATCAGCCTAACCATCGACCATTGGTGCCCTGATGGCTGCTTGCTGTTCACAAGCTTATAAAGCTGAACTTACCTGCAATCCCTTAGAAGAAACAAAACATTTCAATGCAGAAGCACACRTCCTGAGGACCTGAAGTAACCTGAGATGCATCAGGATACAATAAATTGTGAATACAATACAAAATGGAATGATACAACAACATAGTACAATATGACACAACATGGTATTACACAACATATTGTGACATATTAATATAGTTTTTTTTGTATCCTTGAGAAGTTTTGTTGTTACCTGATGAGTGCTAAAAGGTTCTAATTAAAGGAGATTTATAATACTTTTTACTTGTTTGTCTCCTCAGGCAAATATTCTGTAGCCACAGAAAAAAAAGGTGTTTTATGAGACATTTTGGAGGATTTTCAGCGTTAATTAGAGATAAGCGTGAACGAAAGCCAGTCAGTGGAGGAAGGATGTTCACGTGATGCTGACAGAGTTATATAAACCATGAACACACAGCACACTGAGAGGAACAGCAGCACACAGACAGAGTTGTGTCGCTGAGCTTGGCTCGGGGAGGTTGATGATTAACAGGCAAGCTGTGGAGTTTCACACATGAATATGAACACACACATTTACAGCTCAGAGTGTTGTCAGCTTTCAGTTCAGGAGAAACACTCCTACTTGGTTGACACTTCAGGAAACAGCTCCAAACAGCATTCAGTAAATGGCTTGCTCCTTCCATCCCATGATAGCTTTGATACGGTATAATGCAATATATGACATGATGCAAAGCAACATTTTATATTGAATGACTGATCAGCATTGTCTTCTCTAGATATAAGAGTTTGCACTAGAATAGAATAGAATAGAATAGAATAGAATAGAATAGAATAGAATAGAATAGAATAGAATATGTACAATGAGATACTTAACTGACAAAAATGTAACATTCAGTGTAAACATTTACCTTTTAGTTCAGACATTAAGGACCTATACACACAAAAGACAACACTGGAAACCACAGAAACGTGCTGATCATAAGAATACTGATGAGGTAATGAAAGACAGACTGAAGTAATATTGCACATCCTGTAAGTGACCTAACATATTGCACTAGAGGAACTGCATGCAGGAGTTTAAGCCCATAGGAAAAATATATTTTTGAGTCTGTTAGTTTGTCTTTTTATGCTTCTGTACCTTCTGCCTGAGGGCCGCAGGCAGAGCAGGTGATTTCAGGTTTAACGTAAAAGGGGTCGCTTTCCAGACTCAGATGTTGTCCTGAAAGTTAAACAAACGAGATCTTCTTCTATCAACTTGTGACTTGATCTGATGTAGGGGKTTTTTCCACAAAAATGTTCCAATTGTCTTCTTGGTAAAACAATRGTCAGCATGAGAACCTTGCCAATGTCTGAGCGCACAGACGTGTTCAGAGGTAGCTGTGGCTCAGTGGTTGTAGTCCTCCTTCAGCGAGAGAGTTTGATTCCATCACTATGCCGTCACACGTGTTCCTTGCCACTGAACCCCTTCTTGCCATATGTGTGCCCTAGCTGTGTATAGAAAGGATCTAACCCGTGGTTTCCAAATTTGTTGCAGAAACTTGAGACTCCAGATATATGGTTAATGTACAACATATGCAAACGTTGCTGATAATTCTTAATATGGGCAAAATAACAATATAAACAAACCCAATGATAATGAAAATATTTTTGTTCATTTATTGCAATTTATTTATTTATATTTTGCAATAATTGTTTGCATTTAAATTGATGTCTGGAAATCATTTGGGGACCGACACTTGATGTTCCATGAACCACAGACGGAGCCTGACCCCAGCTTTGGGAAACACTGATTAGGGCCACACGAGATTTGGAAAACCTGCRATGTGCGATACCAGTGCTTAATATTGCGATGACATTATGACTTTTGATAAATGAATAGATACGTATGTAGTGTTGATGTCTTTCTGCTCTGCACTAATCATTTCCATTCCAGCATGATTGGTGAAAAACTTCAAGCTTCTGTCTGAGTGACAAAACACATAAATGCAAACTTTTGAGCAAACATTTATTGCATTTTATGCAGTTTTTTGTGATATGCATATTACACAGGCTGCTGTTGCAATGACAATACATTGTCGATGTATTGTGCAGCACACTGATCTAAACCACTGAAACAGAATGATTTATTCAGGTTAGCTTTGTAGAGCTGTAATACGATGGTGAATAAGGACAAAGACTGTGTTGAGCTATAATCCACTTCATTAAATTTATAATTCACAGAAGCAAAAACATTTTCACCTGCCTTCACCTGTCACAACTACCTKAACTCTTCAGTGACTGTGGCCACATTTTATAACACAACACTCTTCTAGTAACTCAATAGTGATGCTGGCTGTTGCCATGGAAACAAGGTCAGCAGTTCCATGGCAACAAGCAGTCTGTGTTTTCCTCCATCTCTGACAAATGTCTTTTTTCATAAGATTAGCTATTGTTTCCTGTCGGATCAGATGCTTTACTAGCTTTGAAAACCTGCACAGAAAACTGGAYGTCTTCAAAACAAGAACCAGACAAKTGTCGCCGTCTGAAGGAGTCATTTCAGGACACAATATTCAGGTGTGGTCAGTAAGTCTGGATCTGATACAAACAGAATTATGTTGCAGAATTTAAAAACTCTGAGTGGGATTCAGGGAGAACAGGGACCTCTGAACATCCTCGATCTGACAGAGATTTTAGAACGTTTTGTACAAATTCCTTCCACTGTTCAGACTGAACACAACGTTCTCAACTTCACTCATGAATTCAGTTTTTTTCTCTTGCTCTACTTTATGCATTAATAGCAGCTTCCTAATCTGTCTTAATCCAACTGCTGCATCACAATAAAAGAAAACTCAAAGCAGATAAAAAAAAAAAGCTCTGGTTGAGAAAATAAATAACAAATAAACAAACACATCTCAGACCTACCTGGCCCGTTACACCTGCTACCAGTTTTTTRAAAGGGATTTTGTGGAGCCCGTCAGCTCTGCGACTGAGTCTTCTCTCCTTTTCATGCTGAGGATTTGCTTAAAAAATGACTTGGAACAATTTCAGCTTCGTATTGATCTCCATCGTGCTGCCTGTGGGGGATGCTGACGCCAGAAGAGCAGGTGGTCTTTGATTTAAAGGAGCAGTGAGGCTGAAAAAAAAAACACCAACATGATGGTGCTCATCTTTAGGGTGTTCATGTTTAGCAAATTACAACAGTATTACACAAACTGCTGCTCAGAAAAAAATGTCACATTTGCATTAGAAAAGCATCCCATAATTGCTGAATTACTATGATTTTGTGTGAAAGGCGAAAACAGTGAGGAAGATGCATTATGAYAACAACAAAGTGATGTGAATAAAAACTGTTGTTTGTCACAATTTTGCACCATTAAATGGCTCATTTTGTCTAAAACAAATGACCAGTATGTGACCCATCACATGGAACTGAAGATTAAATCACAGAGTGGTTTGTGGAGAAATAGGCAGTTCAAGTGCATTTCATCAAAATATAATGAATACAAATGAGTCGTTTAAAATAAACATCTGAAATATAATAGCAGTACCAAAAAGCAAAACAAATTTCAATGAGATGATCCATTTAGGAAGACAAATTGAGCCATTTATCTATAATTGATCATGATGTCAGTATGGTCCAAGTATTAAGATGTATCTTAAAAGCAGGAATCTGAAAGTGTGCCCCCGTCATTTTGAGCAAATTTGACTTGAACCTCAGTTCAGTTTGGTGTGATGGGTACATGGCACAATGGTTAGTGGTTAACAGATAACATGGTAAAAAGGACCTGTGGGCAGGTATTTCCTGTTTTATGGGGGCCATTTTTAAACTACACACCTACATGTGGGGACCAACTGGTACTGATGGGGACCTAAGCCTAGTCCCCATTTGGGGAAATGTCATTGGTGGGATGGGGATTTGGTTTAGGACTATGGTGTGAATTGAGTTTAGGTTCGGTTTAGGGTCAAGTGTGAGGTTAGGGTTAGTGTAAGGGTTCAGGGTTAGGCTGTAGAAAATATTGGAAGTCATTGGAATGTGACGCACGCACACACACATAAATATATTTATAGTCCTATTCATCCTGCACTGGGGGTTACAAGTCTCTGTTTTACTTACATGAATTTATATTTTTTTGTTGTTGAAAACTAACTTTTCTGTCAAATAATGTAAATGGGTTTTCTGGATGTTCTTCATGTTCAATGGAACTTATTCATCTTTTTAAATGTTCTTTATTTTGTTTAATTAGTTTGTCTACAGTAATCATTAAATTGTACATAATCAACTTAGACTCGTATTATTACATAACTATTCTTATAT